GTATCATTATCCGAGTATTCATGGCAGGGCAACATACAGTGGGAACAGAAGGTATTCAGACCCCTTTAAATTTTTGAGAAATGTTTGAGAAATTATTAAAAAAGAAAAACTAAAAAATTGAATGATCTTAATTATTTACACCCTTTGCTGGGACACTCATTTAACTCGCATGCTGTCCATTTCTTCTGATCCTCCTTAAGATGGTTCTGCTCCTTTAGTGGACTCAAGCTGTGTTTACTTTAACTGATTGGACTTGATTAGGAAAGGCACACCCCTGTCTAAATAAGGCTACGTTCACACTGCAGGTCTTGATGTTCAATTCCGATTTTTTAGTGAAATCCGATTTTTCTGCGTTGCCGTTCACATTTCCGAATATATGCGACTTGTATGTGATCTCCTGTGTGAACTGCAGTCATACAACACAAGTGTCCCGCATGCGCAGTATAGAACGCAATGACGCCACAGCCCCGCATGCTCTGTGCATGCGGAAGTAAAAATGGATGGTAGTGCCGGAGCGCATCTAACAATTTTTCCCAACCATAAAAACAGAATCTTTTCAAGATTGTTAAACATAAATACTGCACTCCACTACTACTCTCCGCATCATCATCCGCCATGGTCGTTGTTTTTCTTGCTGCTTGTTCATAGCAAGACCCAGAATAGTGACCTTCGTCGGGTATTAATGGCGTTCAGGTCCGATGAATACGACCTGGCTGTTCAGACACAGGTCGCATTTGAAAAGATCAGATTCGTATTCGATTCAGGACCACAAAGTCTACGTTCACACTGCAGGTCTTGATGCTCAATTCGATTTTTTTTGTAAAATCCGATTATTTTGCGTTGCCGTTCAGATTTTCAAAAATAGGCGACTTGTATGTGATCTCCTGTGTGAACCGCAGTCATACAACACAAGTGTCCCGCATGCGCAGTAGAGAACACAATGACGTCACAGACCAGCATGTGCTGTGATTACGGAAGTAAACATGGATGGTAGTGCTGGTGCGCATCTAGTGATCTTTCCCAACCATAAAAACACAATCTTTTTAAGATGGTTAAACATAAATACTGCTCTCCGCATTATCGTCTGCCATGGTTGTTGTTTTTCTTGCCGCTTCTTCATAGCAAGACCCAGAATAGTGACCTTTGTTTCTCTGTTAAACTTCTTCTCTGACGTCATCACCGGACATACTCAGAGCAGTCGGCCAAATATGAATAAACCACGATTATCTGCATTTTTATTGTTTCTATCTTTAGATTATGAGCTATATACTACAAGGTTAAAAAGAGAGTAAAACATAAAAGTACACTTACGTAAAAAAAAAAAAAACGTAATTTAGGTCTTTTTTTATCTAGGTCGCCCTCGATTTTATAAAATCTGGATGTTTATCTGGATGCGCAGATGAGCTGATGGTATGGATCATGCTTCCGGGGCGGATCAGGTTGTGACAGTGACCTCTGAAGTCCACCCTTCTTTCATTTAAAACAGCTCAGTCATACTCCACAAATAAACATACATATGTGTATATATTAAAGAAGGACAATATACTGTTGAATTACTGAGTTGGAAAAATACATTTCATGTTTTGCTGTGTACACACCATCTATTAAGATGCAAGTTCTGAAGGAAGGAAATCATGGCTTAATAGTGAGCAAATCTATGCAACCACTAGTGCATAAAGCTTCTTACATACAGACATTAAAACAAATACAAGAAACCATAAGAAGGAATGAAGAATAAAATAAATTAGCTACCATGCTCTCTGTTTCACTTCAGACAGCTTATCCCAAAAATTGGTACAGCACTTTCTGTTATAGCAGTCACCACAGCAAAATCCATAGCTGCATTCCTGACTCTCGTGAAATATGTTGAATGAATCTCTGTAGGCTTTACAGTCGTCGCCCCCTGCAAAAGAGAGCAAAAGAAACTTATTGCAACTCAGTAAAAAAGACACAGTCCATCAATGAACAGTGTCTTTACTGAGATTCAAATGAAAGGATTGTTTACCTAAACAGATTCCTGATTTAAAACCTACAGAGTAGACCCATTTTTTAAGAAGAGCTGACCCTCCTAAATAAAAAAAACATGGTAGAATAGTAAAAGCTCTAAAGTAAAAAAAAAAAAAGTAATAGCTCGACAAAATAAAATTATGATTTAACATGAATTTAAAGCTGCAGACTGAGGTTTGCAGCAATCAGCAACTATCAGCTCAATGCTTGACATTTTCAAAAGGTTTACACAAACAACTTCCTGTTAGATTAGGTTTAATCGGTTAAACTTCTGGCAAAGATAAGCCTCACCAGCTCTGATGGAGTCAATTTAACTCAATTTGTTAAAAGGATGATTTTGCAGTAATTCTTGGCATGATTTTGCTAGATTTTGTACTCAAAGCACTTTTATCAGGCACCGTAGAAGTTAATAATATTTCAAACCATAAAATATTAGAGGCGAAGGTACATTCTCACATAAACTGACCCCACATACGTTTAATAACATAACCTCATTATATCAAATTGAATTACGTTATGTAAAAGAATCCACACCCTATGGCTATAACTAACGGTAAACTTTACAAATCAATTAATCTGTCAATTATTTGCTCAATTAATCAATTAATAATTGGATAGCCAAATGCTCCTTTAAAATGCCAAATATTCCTCTGTTGCGCTTACAACGTCAGTTAAAAATGTTGGATTATAAAATTTGTAAAATAACATTTATTTGTTATAAGTGTGATTTTTCGACAATTAATCATTAAACAGGAATGGAGCGAGGTGTTACTTTCCCAGCTGGGAAACAGTGCAAAAAGCCAGTTAAATAACACAATACACAGGTATCGGTCACATCATTAAATCAATCGCTGTGTGTCCCAGGGCCATGGTATAATTACATGAAGGAAAAATGTCAGAAAATGCCTTCTCCTAGAAATCTGAGTGAGCCTGGAGCCATTCTGCCGGTGCACCTGAAAAATTAAGGTGAGCGTGGAGCGGATTTTGAGCAGATGGCCCTGGCACAACTTTGAGTGGCGGAGCGAATGAACGAATATCCTCCTGAGCGGGGAGTGGGAATTGCGAGGCGGGGCGCGGCGCTCCGCTCCGTTCAAACGCTCTGGCGGTGAATGAGGCTTAAAGGCTTGTTATACTCTTGTAGCAGATATGACGCAGATATTTTGGATTCATGCCCAATTTTCAAGCGTGGTCTGCGCTATGTTATTCCACACCACAACGCTAGAGGGACAATCACGAACTAGCTGTGGGGCTAGATACAGGCGAGGTGGTGAGGAAGTGGCGGCAAGTTTTTTTCAAAAGCAGAGACCATGAGGGTGAAAAAAAGCGGGGATCGAGGTGGAAAAAGGGTCCCGGCTTTCTCGCGCACCTCATACAAACATACAAACAAAACAAGCCACTAAGGTATCAAACGGGAAATACGCAAAGTGTAGAGTGGATCTAGAGTTGACCAATCAGATGCCTCCTGTCTGCGGTCACCTACAATTTTGGAGAGGTGCAGGAGAGTGTCTGTGGAGGGGGCAGAGGCACATTTGCATTCACTGCGACACACACAGATGACCTGGTTGATGAGTATACCGTAAATCAGCTTTAACTCAGACACAGCAGGGCAGTCTAGAACAGCACCGCAGTCAGAATCAGGTAATCCACATTAGAAAACTGTCTTCTATAACAAAAGTATCTGAACCATCAGACACTGGATATATGTAAAGGCTTAACTATGTTTTCAAACAGAAGGCTCCATTAGAAAATGTAACTTCATAAAACAAAACTTTAGAAGGTTTTATTAGAGTAGTTCATAGGATTGATAATTATATAGTGGCTGAAAATATGTTTGTTATAATTTATAGTAACATTCACATGAAGTTAGATGTTAGATGGATTAAATTCAATAAGAAGTTTAAAATATTTCAACCACACAGAACTCTGATAAGCAAGCTCATTTATAACAGGCAGACAATTCTTAAATATCTGAATAAGGAATCAATTGGAATGGGAATCAAAAAGAGGAATCAAAATTGGAACTAGAATCATCCTAATTGAAAAAATGTCCATTCCTATTCCATGGTGTAGTCTGTTGAATCATCAGATTATCAGGAAGGCCATCTTTTTTCCAGAATGCCCCCCTCAATCCAAGCAATGTGACGAACATTGGGACTTTGGGAAAAAGTCAATTAAGACTAGAAAGGGACTCTAGACACGGAAGCTTTCAAGGAAAACAATAAAACCATGGAGTGAAACATCTAAATGCTTGTGGTTATTGAAAAGGAAACAAAAACAAAACAACAATCACAGTATTGGTTTGGATTTTTTTTATTTTTAATTTATGCAAAATAGATCAGCCCTATTAGAAGCTATGATGAGATTGTTCAGAGGGATGGATGTTTATGTGTTGGAATGGCCCATTAAAAGTGCAGACCTAAATCTGACTGTTAATCCATGCCACGACTTGACAGTTGATGTCAGTTTAATCTTGATGCTCTCCATCTAACAGGTTTAGGTAGACTTATTTTTTTTTTATAAGCGGTTGTGTGTTACAAAAAAATCCTAAGACTATTATGTTTGTGACTGTATTGTATGAAGATCTTCAAAAGGCTTGTTAATTTTACTGTAAAGGAGTGAAAACAAAACATTAAGCCATTTCATTTTTAATAAGTTTTTTCAGAAAGTTTTAGATTTTCATACCAACAAGAAGAGTAACAAAAAATAAAATAAAAATAAAAATATATATTTGTTTTGCAAACATGATTGTTTTACGATGGGTAATATCGACTTTTTTTTTTGTTCATTTAAACTATAAGGCTTTATCAAGGAAGTACATCATATAATACACCTTAGTGCTAAAACAATTAATTGCGATTAATCAATTATTGATTAAAAAAATAAAAGAGCAAATAATTTAGTAATCAATGAATCGTTAGCTGAAGTGTAAACAATCTAACACGAACCCATAAACGGCAGCAATTATAACAAAATCGTAAAAAAAAAAAAAAAAAAAATTGAGGATTTTGCATTTTAAACAAAAAACTTTTTCATCTGTCAGTATGCTCTATCCAGAATGCCTTAAGTGGAACAGCTTAGTTTCACCTTCTTCTTCAAGGAACGTTTGGCTATCCGATTATTAATCAATTAATCGAAAAAATAATCAACAGATTAATCGATTTGCAAAATCGTTAATTGCAGCCCTAATACACATATGAGTAAAACAAATAGTGATTTTGTAAATATTTCTGAATTTGATGCTTTGTTATAAACTGAGACCTGGCAGGATCTTTTGTGTAAATACAGCTAAAAAATGTATAAAACCTTTTTTGTGTGTGTGTGTGTCTAAATCCCTCTCTTATCATTTGTCGACTTTTTTTAATTCCACTTATTTAAACCTGTGTGACTAATGCTGTCACCTCATATTTAGATAAATAAGTGTTTAATTATATATACACACACATATACATATATATAAACACAAACATCTCTCTTTTTAGGTATATGCGGGCAATATTGTATTTTCTATATAAAAATATTCCTTCAGTGTTTTGTTAAAGAAACAAACTAAGGTAACACGTCCAGATTTACCAGCCTTATAAAATAGACGTAAACATGGTTGTTTCTGGTCTCAGACAGACAGGAAATGACGCTGATCCCGTTGCCAGGGGATCTCATCCAATCACGTGCCGGGAAAGCTACCTTTCTAGTAAAAGTAAGGGTGTTGGTTTTTCAAACAAAACAAAAAAAATAAAATAATAAAAAAACAGAATTTTACATGCAGTCTGCCTAAACCCAATTATCTAAAATCATTAAATTTATTTTTAAAAGTTTAAATGGCGTTCACGGTCATCAATATTAATCACTACACACTCTGGCAACGGGATCTGTAGGTTGAGACTCCTTTATCAAGCCGATATTAAAAATAGCTTAAAAGTTTGCTAAATATTTTTTTCTAAAAACTACAGCATGTTTCCAGAGGGACAGCCTCTGGTAACGGGCCTGAAGAGTCCCTGTTCCATGAGACCTCGCCTAAAAGCCTTAGGCTTTTTTCATTTATATCAGCTTAAAAATGTCAAACTTACCGAAGACACGACCGGACAGAGCGGCACAGAGGATCACCACTGCTAAACTGGCCAGACCTGACGCCATGACAGCTTTCGATATTCCCTGTGCTAAAACGGACAGTTTCCTCCACCTTCCCCCACCGACTGAGGGAGGGAGTCTGGATCCGCTTCGAGGACCCTCAAGCTCCGCCCGCGTTGGGTGGGGCATGAGACACTGGAGCTCTTCTTCTTCTTCTCCTTCTTCTTCTGCTGCTTCTTCTTCTTCTTCTTCTTCTTTTCTATCATGGCGGATCGCAAGCAACTTTAAGGTGTATACCGCCACCTACTGTTCATGAGTGTGTAGCAACATTGTTTTACATCTATTAAATTTTATTTTTTAATTTTGTATTCTGAAGATAAATAAATAATGCTCTCCTTAATCTATAAATATCCTTCATATTTCCTTTATTTCCCAATAATCCTTTAAGACTCCATTCTTGGCCTGTCCTTTCAACTCTTTCTCATCAATAGGTGTTCTACATTTTCTATGTCTCCACAACCTTCACATTTATCATTATTTTTCCTCCCTATTAAGTATAAATTGTCATTTAATGACCTACTCTTAATCTGATCATTATTATTTCTTCCCTTCGGTTTACTATACATTTCTCACTAGAAAT